CCCCCCCCCCCCCCCCCCCCCCCCCCCCCCCCCCCCCCCCCCGCTGACGCTTGCTCTCTGGCTGCAGCCACCCCCTCTGGCTGCCCTCGGCCCGGGGGCGGGGTCCCCGTCCGCCACCAGGAACACTTCTCCCAGCCCGACGACCCCTGCCGCCGCTGCCTCTGCCTCGACGGCTCCGTGTCCTGCCAGCTGCTGCCCTGCCCACCGGCGCCCTGCACCCACCCGCGCCAGGGGCCCTGCTGCCCCTCCTGTGACGGTAACGCCCCGGCTGCACCTGCCCGCACTCCTTCCAGCTCCACCCCGGAACCTCACCTGCTCCGTCCCCCTCTTACTCTGCGTCCCTCTTTACCTCCAGGCCGGGCGCCACCCCTTCTCCCCCTTCCTCCTGGCCCACTCCTCCGGGGGCGGGGTTCTCACTAAGAAAGTGCGGGAACGGTGCCCACCCAGCCCGCAGGGCCCGGGAGGTAGTGCGCCTGGTGCGCCACCTCCAAGGCCCCCCAGCCCCTCGCCTGCCCCCCAGGCTGCCTGTACCAGGGGAAGGAGTTCGCCAGTGGCGAGCGCTTCCCTTCGCCCACTGCCCGGTGCCACGTCTGCCTCTGCTGGGAGGGCAGCGTCAGCTGCGAGCCTAGGGCCTGTGCCCCAGCACAGTGCCCCTTCCCTGCCAGGGGTGACTGCTGCCCTACCTGTGATGGTGAGGGGACGGGAACTGTACGGGTGGGGGGACAGGAGGGCGGGGTCAAAGTCATCTTTACTGCCCTAGAGTGGGTCAAAAATATTTATTACCGTAAGACAAAAGCCCTGGACCAAATTCTGTGTGGGTTTTCCCTACGGATTGGACAGGGAGCTTTTTTCTTTTTTGTAATATTTATTTATTTATTGGCTGTGTTGGGTCTTAGTTGCAGCACATGGGATCTTTCGTTGCGGCGCATTGTGGCTCACCGGCTCAGTAGTTGCAGGCGCGAGGGCTTAGTTGCCCCGCCGCATGTGGGATCTTAGTTCCCTGAGCAGGGATCCAACTGGCGTCCCCTGCATTGCAAGATCGATTCTTAACCACTGGACCACAGGGAAGGCCCTGGACAGGGAGCTTCTTTGCAGGCTGAAGGGGAGAAAGTTTGCCCTTTGGCCAATCCAACTGCCACCCCCCAGACCCCTTTACCCACCGGCCAAGAATGAGCCCTTCCCTCCCCACCAGGTCTTTGAGGCCTTGGCCTCAGGCCAGGCCCAGGCTCAGAGCTGGATGACTGGTCTCCTCTCCCTGATTTCTGCCGCTCCCCCCACCCTCCCTGTCCTCTCTCCAAGGCTGCGAGCACCTATGGGAGTCCTACCTGAGCAGCCAGGACTTTCCGGATCCCCGAGAGCCCTGCAATCTGTGTATCTGTCTCGGAGGCTTCCTGAACTGTAGCCGCAGGCCCTGTGAGCCTCTGGGCTGCAGCCACCCGCTCACCCCGTCTGGGCACTGCTGCCCGACCTGCCAGGGTAGACCTGCCTTCCCACTGCCCTTCTCAACTCCCGGCCTCCCTTTGGCTGCGAGTCCCCTGGTCTGGTCACTGTCACCCCTCCCCCGAGACAGCCACGCAGCAAGCCCACAGACTGGGTTTTCCTGGGGTTCCTCACCCCATACTCGCGCCCTCCTCTCCGTCCCTGCTGTCACCTCGCGCCAACTGTGAGGGGCACCACACAACCACCCCTGTGCTGTCAGACCTTCCCGCTCTTCAGCTGTCTCCCTGCCTTCCCAAAATAGCACGTCACCAGACTCCAAGCCATTCAGTGGCTTCCACTGCCCTTGAGTCACCCAAGCACATTTGGGCAACTTCCTTCCCCCGTGGCTTCTAAAGAAGCCACCCTCCCGAGCCCAGCCCACCTCTCGCCTTCATTTCCACTGTGCCCGTTCCTCTCATCTTCCTCCCACGAGGGCCCTTGCTCTGTGATCCCACCCTCAGTCCCCCCCGCCGTGCTTCACGCATGCAAGTCTCACCACCGTGGTGGTCTGGCTGAAGTCTTTCCTCCCGCCCCTCACCTTCCCAGCCACTCATCTCTCTTTCTGACTCTTAGCTAAGCTTTGGTAGAGGACCCCAGGCCCGGCTGTGTGTGTGTGTGTGTCTGTGTGTGTGTCTGTGTTGGTGTGTGTGCCTGTGTCAGCAGAGGGATCCACTGATTGCGGCTCTGCCTTGTATTCCCCCCTCTGCCAGGATGCCTCTATCATGGGGTCACCGCTGCCCCCGGAGAGACCCTTCCTGACCCGCTCGACCCCACCTGCTCCATCTGCACCTGCCAGGTGAGGCGGCCCTTTGGGGGCTTGGAGCCCTTCATCCCTTGATCCTCCTCTCTGGCCAGAAAGAGGTCGTCTCCTCCTCCCAGGGTACACGCTGCCTGTGACATCCATCAGGACAGATTGGGCTCAGGCCTCCTGGGCTGAGGGAGGGGGTCTGGGCCGGGCAGGTCAGTAGGGGCACACCCCCATGAGGCCACATGTGGCCTGGTTTGAGGGTGTGATGACATGGGAAGTGGCAGCGTGACCTCTCTCCCCCAGGAAGGCTCCATGCGCTGCCGGAAGAAGCCGTGTGCTCCAGCTCTGTGCCCCCATCCCTCCCCAGGGCCTTGCTTCTGCCCTGTTTGCCACAGTGAGCACACACACCCCGCCCCCCCCCACGCCTCCCCCTCCCGCTCTGCCAGACCTGACGCTGGACTGGTAGCACAGCCCCCGCCCAGGACACATGTCACCCACAGGCTGCCTCTCTCAGGGCCGGGAGCACCAGGATGGGGAGGAGTTTGAGGGGCCCGCAGGCAGCTGTGAGCGCTGTCGCTGTCAGGTGTGGTAGGGAGGTGGCAGAGGGGGCAGGGGCGGGGTCAGCTGGCCTGGAGAGCAAGTCACTGACCAGGCATCTCCTGCAGGCTGGCCAGGTCAGCTGTGAGCGGCTGCAGTGCCCACCTCTGCCCTGCCCACTCCAGGTCACAGAGCCGGGGAGCTGCTGCCCTCGCTGCAGAGGTACGTCTGGCCAGTGGGGCTGCTCCCTTGTTTCCGTCCCTCCATCGGCCCCACCTCCCTCCCCTCAGCTCTCCTCCAGACTTCCCACCTCCCTGTCCACCCGTCTGTCCCTCCCACACCTCAGCCCTTGAGCTCTCACCACATTCACCTTCAGCTCTTCCTACCTATCCCTGCCCCTGGCCTATCCAGACCGTCTCCCCTTCTAGGTGCTTATTAGAATCTCCTCGAAGCTGCCCATTCCTAACCACGCCCCATTCATAATGATAATAATGATAATTAACATTTATTGAGCATATACCATGTGCTAAGCACTTTACACATACCTCATTTGATGCACACAACGATCTCAACAAGTAGGCATTATTATTAACTTTTCCCATTTTATAGATGAGAAAACTGAGGTAACATAACTTACCTGTGGTCACTTAGCCAGTAGATGGCAGAGTCAAGATTTGCATCTAGGCCGTCTGGTTCTAGAGTAGGGGACTTTTTTAGCCTGTGTGAGCCCTCGCCCCGTACACTGCCCAGCATGGTATAGGAACTGTCAGCGTCTCCTTGCCCTGAGATGAAATCCCCATTTAACAGATGGGGAGACTGAGACTTGTAGAGATTGAGTTACCTTGGGCACACGGTTACTGATGGAGCCTCTCATTCATCCCACGTGCATTTATTACACACTTGCTGCAGGCCAGGTACTGTTGCTGGCACTGGGCTATAAGAGACAGTGCCTGCTGCCTGGCACTGGGTCTAGCAAGCAAGCAGACGAGGAATGGGATTAGAGTCCAGGTGTTCTGACCCCGACCCAGTGTCTTTCCCCTCCATCACAGGCAGGAGTTCTGTCCCAGGACACCTTTCCACTATATCCCTGCAGAAACCCCTCCTGGCACCCACATACCCTACTGAGCACCCAGGGTGAGGGGGCTGGGTCAGGGGCAGACATGCAGAACCCATACTCAGAGCTCATCCCTGCCCACCTCGGACACAGGCTGCCTGGTTCATGGGGAGGAGCACCCTGAAGGCAGTAGCTGGAAGCCCCCCAACAGCCCCTGTTCCTCCTGCATGTGTCATGAGGGTGTCATCACCTGTGCCCGCGTCCAGTGTGTCACCTTCTGTGCCCAGCCTCACCTGGGGCCCCGTGACTGCTGCCCTCGATGCTCTGGTACTGGGAGCCTGGGGTGGGGGGATGTGGGCAGGGAGGCAGTGCCCCGTCAGCATCTCCCTGCCATTGCCCTGGGCTGGGCGGCAGAGGTAGGGAGAAGTGGCCCCCATTCTTATGCACACCCCATTCTCTGAGGCTGGGGGGCCTGGCATTGCTGCCAGCCTGAAAGCTCCCTGATTCTGTTCTGCTCTTAACCCCCCACCCAACCCCTGCCAAGCCTGTGAGCATGAGGGTCGGAAGTATAAGTCCGGGGAGAGCTTCCAGCCTGGCGCAGACCCCTGTGAAGTGTGCACCTGTGAGGTAGGGGAGCGCAACGTTGAGGGGCAGCCTGGACCCTGCGGGGAGCAGGCATTGTGGGGAGTCAGGAGTGTGTCCCTGTGGCCAGGGAGTGAGGCAGGGGCTTGGGGTGAAGAGCCGGCAGGGCCAGCAAGTCTTGGGGGGCAGGCAATGGGCGGGCCCTCCTGGCTGGAGTGTGGGGTGGTGTGGGTAGAAGGTTGCGGGGAGATGCCTGGGAATTGGTTGGGGGCCATACTGGGGAACTTCTATTTGAAAGGTAAGGGTGAGCCAATGAAAGGGTTTTGAGCAGGCGACAGACATCGTAGATCAGGAGATTAGGCAATGGGATTGGGGAGGGGGATGGCATGGGAGTGCAGAAGGGTCAAAGGCCACATGAAGGTTCAGGCCCCAGTGACTGCAGGCAGCAGGCACTGTCCTCTCTGGGGACTGGGGCATGGGGTGAGGAGATGCTCAGTCTCTCTGCACACTGTCGTCTGATCTGCCCAAGGCAGATGGAGGAGCCTGGCATCCAGAGGAAAGAGGGTGGCTCTCAGCTTCCATGGCCTGGGACCCACCCCCTGCTCGCTCATTCAGCTGCAGCCTGAGGGAACTCCCAGCCTTCGCTGTCACCGGCGGCAGTGTCCCAGCCTGGTGGGCTGTCCCGCCAGCCAGCTCCTGCCCCCTGGGCCCCAGCATTGCTGCCCCACCTGTGCCCGTGAGTCCCCGGACTTGGGGGGAAAGAGGGCAGGGCTGCCACCCCCAGAGTGACACTGGAAGGGCCAGCCAGCCCTCCTCCACAATCCCAGCCCCAGCCCTTTCCTGAGTCCAGTGGATTGTTCTGGAAACCTGTACCCTGGAGGGTGAGACCTGTAATACCCTAAGGGGAAACGGGAAGCTAGCAGGACCCCTTGACTCTGAAGCCTGGTGCATCTTGTCCAGCAGGTGGCGCTGCAGGGTTGCAGCTGTGCTGGCTGCTGGCTTCTTGAGGGCAGGGATATTAGGACCAGAGGGGCAGTGAGTCGCCCAGCTACAGAGGTGGGGAGAGGTGTTCTTGTCAACACTTGTTCGGATGTGCTGCTGCAGGGAAAGAGGAAAGGCACAGTATTTACTAAGCACCTACTGCATGCCACGCACTGTACTTGGTGCTTTTAATAAACAGCATCACGTTTAATTCTCAGTTACCCAGTGAGGAGGTGTTATTACTCCTTTTGTTAACAGATGAAGAAATTGAGGTTCAGAGAAGTTGATTAATTTGCCCAAAATGGCACAGGCACTGAGTGCTGGAGCCAGGATTGGAACCTGGGGTACCTGGCTCATTGTGCTTCCTTTCAGACGATGAGTGGGAGGGCGAGCAGGGCGGGCAGCCCAGTGGTCCTTAGTGACCTCAGGCTGAGGAAGCCACACTTTGTCCGTTTTCAGGCCCTCCATGCTAGCAGCCTAGCAAAGTTCCTTTTCAAAAGTCCAAACTTTTCTTTGCTGGAACAAAAGGAAAAGGGATCTGTCATTTCTGGAATCAAGGTGTTAGTGCCATAAGTATGCCCTGGTCCCAAAAAGCCTGGGGACGCAGTAGGGGGATAAGGGGTCAGTTAGGCTTTGTCCCCCACCCCCATCCCGGCAGCATCTCCCATACTGCGTTCTTGTCTTCACAGAGCCGCTGAGTCCCTGCACGGAGCACCTGCGGGGGTCTAAGCTGGCCCTGCCAGACCCCTGCTACACCTGCCAGTGCCAGGTGAGCCCTCCTGCCTTGGGGATTCCTCAAGCCCCCTCTTCTCCTCTGTGGGCTGTGGCTGCGACTCCTCTCCTGCAGCAGCTCTGGGCTTCCTACTCACCCCCGACATTTGCCCACTTGTCCTGAATGTCGCATCCTGCCTAGGCCCTGCTCCCTCCCTGCTGTTCTCTACCTGTCGTGTTCCTGTGCCCTTCCACAGGACCTGACTTGGCTCTGCATTCACCGGGCCTGTCCTGAGCCCAGCTGTCCCCTGTTGGAGCGCCATACCCCCCCTGGGAGCTGCTGTCCCGTGTGCCAGGGTTCATGCCCAATTTTGTTCTGCATCCTCAGAGCCGGAGCCAGGAGGGAGACAGGAGGGGTGGCATCCATGGGCCAAGTGGGCAACCTGGGGTGTGCACTCAGAATGCAGGCTTTGTTCTTTTGTAGAAAGGGAGGGCTGTTCGTTGGGGTGGAGGAGGGACCCATGAGGTAGAGGGAGGCAGGGAATGAAGCCTGGATTCTCAAGGCCTGGCCTGAGGCTTGGCTCAAGGACCCGAGGCCCACTAGCAGGGCATCGCACAGCTGAGCTGGCAGCCGGCCCAGAGGAAAGTTCCAGCTTCTGGCTTTTGTGGCTTCCGGGACACTCTGGACATCCCGAGCACTGGTGCCAGGTCTGCCGTCTAGTAGGCCATGGTGCTGGTTGAAGAAATCAACACCATCAGGGTGCTAATTGGATGGGGTGGGCACTGCCCTGCCCTGGCCTTCAGGGTGAGCTCATGCAGGCGGAATGACAGTGCTCTCCCATCCCCATTTCTTCCTCCTCAGAATGTGTGGTGGAAGCTGAGGGCCAGAGAGTGGCAGATGGAGACAGCTGGTGGGACCCCAGCGACGACTGTATCACTTGCACCTGCCGTGTGAGCTGGGGGTGGGAGGGTGAGGGTAGAGGACCTGAGAGATGGATAAAGGGAGGAGCTTCTGGTCACTGGACCAGAGAATATGGGGTCTTCGAGGTAATCAGAAAAAGCCGCCCCCTCTGGGCATCCCTGTGTGAGGGCAGGTAGCTGAAGGTGCATTTCATCCCCTACTTGAACATGAAGTGGCTGTTCTTGTGGGGCAAGGGCAGAGAGAGAGGGGGCTCCCGCCCCAGTCCCTGATCCAGAAGGGCTCCAAGAGTGTGAGGCCAGGGACTCCAGACCCTGCCGGAAGTCCCTAGAGCCATGGCATCTGTCCTCAGCGGGGCCGCGTGGAGTGCCACCTGGAAGAGTGCCAGGCCCTCTCCTGCCCCCACGGCTGGGCGAAGGTGCGGGAGGCTGGCAGGTGCTGTGAGAGATGCCAAGGTGCGGGCTAAGGAGATGAGGGGGGGGGATCGGGGAGGGGGGAGGCGGGAGCGAGACCCAGTGTGAGGGGTGGGCAGCGGACCCTCGCCCCTTACTGTCCCCTCAGCCCCCGCCCAGTCGTGCGCGCACCAGGGCCGGCAGGTGGCCTCCGGGGAGCGTTGGGCCGTGGACGCCTGTACCAGCTGCTCCTGCGTAGCCGGCGCCGTGAGCTGCCAGAGCCAGCGCTGCCCGCCGCTCTCCTGCGGGCCCGTGAGTGCTGCTGTCTGAGGCGGTGGGATGGGTGGCCACTTGGCACCGCCCCACTGGGTGCCCCGGGGAAGGAGGAGGCTGGACTTGCCCGGGTCATGCAGTTCCCGAAGTAGCCACGAGGTGGCGCTCTGACCCCCCGCCAGCAGTAAGCCCAGGAGCCCTGGAGCCTCCCCAGCGATCCTCCGTGCCCCGGGAGGCTCTGCGTGGCGCACGGCAGGGAGCGCAGCGTGTCTGACGGTGTCTGGGGCGGAGGCCAGGACGAGGCCCCCGCCCTGCGTCCCGGCAGCTGCTGCCCCCGCTGCCTCACCCGGCCCGGTTCCTGCATGGCCTTCGGAGACCCTCATTACCGCACCTTCGACGGCCGCCTGTTGCACTTCCAGGGCAGCTGCAGCTACGTGCTGGCCAAGGACTGCCGTGGAGGCGACTTTAGGTGCGCAACCCCCTCTGCCTTCTCCCTGCCCCCTTACACCCGTCCCTGCTGACCACTGCATCTGGGCCTCCCACGCCACAGCGTGCACGTGACCAACGATGACCGGGGCCGGAGCGGCGTGTCCTGGACCCACGAGGTGGCCGTGCTGCTGGGAGACGTGGCCGTGCGGCTGCTGCAGGGCGGGGCGGTCACGGTGAGTAAAGCCAAGGACCCGGGGAAAGTCGGTCCTGCGCTTTCCTCCCCGCTGTCCCGACGTCGCTCCTCCTCCCGCCTCCCTTCTCCTCCAGGTGGACGGGCGCCCCGTCGCCTTGCCCTTCTTGCGGGAGCCTCTGCTGTATGTGGAGCTGCGGGGACGCACGGTGATGCTACACGGCCAGCCGGGGCTCCAGGTGCGGCCGGGGCGAGTGGGGTGCAGGGGAGCCTCGGGCCTGTTCAGGTGTCTGTATCTGTAGAGGGAGTGGGGATACCAGCTACCTCCCAGGCCAAATGAGGCCACAGAGGTGAGAGAGTTCTGCTGGATTCTGAAGGGAGAAGAGGAATCAGGGTTAGAGACCTCCACGTGTGATGAAAGGAGTTCTGAGCCTGGTTTGCGATCTTGGCTCAACCACCCACACACTGGGGCTCTTAGGCCATTACCTTAAGCCCATCCTCTCTGGGCCTCAGCTTTCCCATCAGTCAAATGGGGGAAGGGTTGGGAGGGTGGGCAATGTCAACTGCCGTCTCCTGGGTGGCTTCAGAGATTTTCTCCAATTCCCATGTCAAAGAGTAGTTCACTCCCTGGCCTCCAGCAACAAGCACATTTGTAAATTCATAAAATAAGTCTTGTCTACTCTTATGATACAGACTCTAATTATGCTTTGTTCTCGGTAAGGCCTGAATACCCATGAGAGAGTGACTCTCTGGAAGAGGGTTGCATTTCATGGGGGCGCCGAGTTCATGGAGGATGAGGGGAGAAGGTGCCCTTTTGAGGGAGCTGCGGGTGGCTCTTCAAGTCTTCTGTGTTTGCCCAGGGCTGACAGGGCAGGTACCTACTTGTATCCTCCCTTCCAGGAGACATCTCCACCTGTCCATTCTCCTCCCCTACAGCAGGGGGCGTGCTGACGCCGCCAGGATCGGCACTGGGCTTCCTGGGGCCCCTGCCTTTCCCCACTCTCCAGTCCCAGCCTCTCTGCACAGGTGCTGTGGGATGGGCAGTCCCAGGTGGAGGTGAGAGTGCCTGGCTCCTACCGGGGCCAGATTTGTGGGCTCTGTGGCAACTTCAATGGCTTTGCCCAGGATGATCTGCAGGGCCCTGAGGGGCTGCTCCTGTCCACTGAGGCTGAGTTTGGGAATAGCTGGCAGGTGAGTCACACAGGAGCTGGGGGGCAGGGGGGAGGCACAGTTGAGCATGAATCTCAGAGCAGCCTTCTGGTATGGAAAGGGAAGTTTGCACACAAGGTGGGCTTTGGGGCTTTCAAGGAGGTTTGGGGACTTCTTGCCTGCTGTGGTGCTGGGGGAGGCAGGATGGCCTGTTGAAAGCGGTCTCATCACCTGAATCCCCAAGCCCTGCTTTGCCGCTCACGAACTGTGTGACCTTGGACAAGTCACTTACCTGCTCTGGGCCTTGGTTTGTCCATCTGTAAAATGGGAACAAAGGAAAAGTAGCTGATGCTTCCTTTGCTGTTCTTATAGGGAGGTTTATGAGGCTAAAACAAAATATTTGGTGCAAAGTGCTTTGAAGAACATAGCACACAAAGGTCGGCTGCCAGTGGATGCTGCCATATAGAGCCGCTTTCCCCACCTAGGTCCCAGAGGGGCCAGGACCTGGTCGGCCCTGTTCCAAGGGCCGTGAGGTGGATCCATGCCGGGCAGCAGGGTACCGTGCCAGGCGTGAGGCCAACGCCCGGTGCAGGGTGCTGAAGTCCTCCCCGTTCAGTCGCTGCCATGCCGTGGTGCCCCCAGAGCCCTTCTTTGCCGCCTGCGTGTATGACCTCTGTGCTTGTGGTCCTGGCTTCTTGGCTGACACCTGCCTCTGTGACGCCCTGGAAGCCTATGCCAGCCACTGTCGCCAAGCAGGGGTGACTCCTGCCTGGCGGGGCCCCACACTCTGCGGTGAGGGGGCAATGCCCAGTGCGAGTTGGGGGAGGGGTGACACGGAGGGCTCAGGTCTGGACAGTGTAGGTACAGGGAGGGTCACGGGGGGGGGGCCTGGTGACTGGAAAGTGACTCTGCTTTCCACTCCACCTGCAGTGGTGGGCTGCCTCCTGGACCGTGGCTTCGTGTTTGATGAGTGTGGCCCACCCTGTCCCCGCACCTGCTTCAACCAGCATGTCCCCCTGGGGGAGCTGGCGGCCCACTGCGTAAGGCCCTGTGTTCCTGCCTGCCGGTGCCCCGCAGGCCTGGTAGAGCACGAGGCCCACTGTATCTCACCCGAGGCCTGCCCCCCAGTCCTACTCACTGGGGACCAGCCACCCAGCACTCTGCCCAACCCCAGCCAGAAGCCCCAGGTCCAGGAACCCTGAGCCAGGACGACACCGACAAGGATTTATCAGGCTAGAAGTCTCCCCTCGGAGAGAAGCTCCCACACTGCCCGGGCATCGGGAGCCTGGGTCTGGGCCCCACAAAGACCCCAGCCGTGTGGAGTCAGAAGCAGTAAACTCGGGAACTGCCCTAAGGTTTCTCTGTGTGTATGTGTGCTGCCTCTGGGTGCTGCGCTGGTGGTGTGGGTTCTTTGGAACATGGGGTCCAGAGGTCAGTGTCCCCAGACTCAGGGTGGTAGCAGCTGTGGGGTGGACCTTGCCCACTCTCTGTGCCTGCATCTCTGGGCTGCCCCTACCTGCCACACCCTGGTGCTGCCTGGGAAACCCTGCGATGGGCAGAAGGAGGACCCAGGTGCCCTGGTGCCAGCCCTGTGTTTACATGTAGCAGGCACGGCCTGTGGCCCCCATGTGCGGCCCTCTGTGGGGCCCTCTGTGGATCCAGGTGGAATCCTGCAGGGGCTGAGGAACACTGGGAAGGGGCTCAGTGCCCACATGGCATCCCCCTTTCCTTGGGGATATTGAGTGCTCAGGCACCTCCTGGGCCACCCTAAGAGCTGGTGACAAAAGGACCCCACGCCTGGGTGGGGAACAGGAGAGACAATGTTTCTGTGATGACATACAGACACATGTGATGAAATACACACACACACACACACACCCCTCAAAAACCCAGATAAACACATGCATGTATCCCTCGTGTGTTCGCAGCTACACCCACCCCTGACGGACATGTGGTCAGGGGACACACATGTGACTTTCAAAGACATCCTTATAGGGGAAAGAACATGGGTTTTGAAATAGGAAAAAAAAAAAAATCTCTTTCTTTGACCAATAAAGTCTCTTTTCAAAGAGAACTGTATTTTGAGTTCTCTCTGCTACCTAACAGCTATGTGACCTTGGTTTTCTTAGGGACCTTAGCTAAAGATCGGGGTTGGGGGGACCCTAGTATTCCAACAGAGAGTGAAGGGAGGGCGTTGGGCTGAACCAACCCCCACCCCACCCCCGCCTGCTTCCTCAGCCTGCTTCTGCTGGGGCCCCTTTCATGGAGCGGTTACAAAGCGGCAGGCAGGCCAGGCTGCTCGTGACGGCAGGGGATGCGAAGACTACAGACCATCACGTATGCCTGTTCCCTCCCCTTGTCGTTACTTCTACGAACTGTGTCCTCATCTGCTGTATCCCGTGTGTTGCGGAGAATAAACAGAGCGTGGACAGCTTGGAGCAAGCACTAGGGAAGCGCGTTACTACTCACACTCGGGACCACATTTTCCGAGAGCCTGTTTCTCGTGCTGTCTGTCCCCAGATGAGGGAGACAGTGCCATGTGTTAGGTAGGACAGCTTACTCTCTGGGGCCCGGTTTTCTTTTCTGTGAAATGGGGATGAAAACGATACCACCTACTTCATAGAGTTGCTTCAAGGAAGGAGTACGTGTACGTAGCATTTTGTGTCCTGGTATACAGTTAGCTGTTGGGAGCTGCTGCCTGTATTGGGCATATATCTCATACCATATAATGCAGTTGCAAGCTTCAGATATACATTTGACATTTGAACAACACGGGTTTGAACTGCACGGGCCCACTTATGCTCAGATTTTTTTCAATGGTAAATACTACAGCACTACACCATCCCAGGTAGGTTGAATCCTCGGATATGGAGGGCAGACTATAAGTTATATGTGGATCTTTGACTGCAAGGAGAGTTGGGCCCCTAACCCCCGTGTTGCTTAAGGGCTAACCATATGTATAAAATAGATGCTCATTTGGGACTGCAAACACATGCACACACGTCGCTCTCTATCAGGGCCACAGTCCTCAACCCCACACTGCCACCCACGTGGCCAAGAAACCTGCATCAGAGTCAGGTTTCTCTGAGACTTGGCTGAGGCCCAGGCCCTGGCTCAGATGTCAGGGCCCCACGTTACTGAGCCCAGGAGCCTTTGTCTCCTCCTTGCGCCTGTCCCCAGCTCCTCATCTTCCTCCTCTCTCCAGGAGCAGCTGGTGGAGGGGAGGGGTGTGGACGTCCTCCCTGGCCCCCTGCCCCATGGAGCAGGCAGCCACACCTGGGGGCCTAGGGCTCCCCTGTAGCCCCAAGCAGGCCTTGGCCCTGTACCAGCACCTCTTCCGGTGCCCTGCAGGCCTGGGCCAGCTCTGGGCTGCCCTGCAGCAGGTGAGGGTGACAGGGCACCGTCTACGAGGGGGCAGGCTCTCCGTGGGGTCTGACTCCACCTTGCCTCCCCAGGTGGGAGACGGCCGGACCTGTCCCTCAGGCCTCGAACTGCCCACCGTGCTGCTGCAGATGGAGCGGAGCCGGCGGGCCCAGGAGCAGGTAGGCGGCCGTCGGCCAGGGAGGGTGGCAGAGCGCAGGGTGCGTGCCCGCTCACATCCTGGCACCCCACCTTCCTGCAGCTCCTGTGGGATTTGGAGCTGCTGACCGGGGCGGGGCTGGGCCTCTCCTGGCCCCCCTGGGCCCAGTTTTGCGGTCTGAGGGACCGGGCCCAGTGTGCGTGGAGCCAGTGCAGCAAGCCCCGTGGTAGGACGGATGGGGGCTCTGAGCGGCGGACGAGTGGGGTGAGCTGGGGTGTGGCTGAGGGCGGGGGCGTCAGTGAAACACTGGGGCACTTGTAGTGGTTGAGAAGTGGAAGGAATGTGGGCTCTGGAGACAGATGGATCTGGGTTCAAATCTCTGCTCTGACGCTCCCTGTGGACCGTAAGCCTGTTTCCTCAGCTACAAGATGGGGAAGATAATAGCTCTTTTTCAGAGCGCTGCTGGGAGGATTGTGAACTCATCTGTGTAAAGGATTTAGCACCATGCCTGGCATACAGGACCATTCTGGCTTGCTACCATTCCACAGTGAACTACCTTGGTCAAATCAACAGCGTGGTGACACCTAGAAGCCTTTAGACATGGCTGCAGCAAGGGAGGAAAGCAGGCCTGGTGGTGCCCAGAGGGCAGAGGCACTGATGCCCAGGGTGCCCCAGAGATGAGACCCTGAGCAGCCCCAGCCCCAGGCCCCTCCTTCCGGGGCTGGTGGCTGGTCCCACCCTTCTAGGAAGGAGGGTGCTGTGGTGACTGGGAACTAGGATGTGCCTCAAGTCCTGGCTCAGCCACCAACTGCCTGAGGCCCTTTGGGCAGGTTAGTAGCTTGTAGCAGAAGGGGGTGTTAGTCATGACCACTAAGGAAGTATCCAGCCAACACTTTTAGCCAAGACGGCAGTCTCAGCTGAAGGGTTCAGTGGGCAGGAGGGATCCATTTCCAAGCTCCTTCACTTGGAGGGGAAGCGTGGGGAGGTCACACAAGGGCACAGATGCCAGGAGGAGGGAACACTGGGGGCTGTTTTAGAGGCTGCCTGCCACATTGGGGGATGGTGCCCTGTAGACTAGGGTACCCCCCCCAATCCATCCAGAATTCCAGGCTGTGCCCATCGCCCCAGGCTGAGGACCCCCTGAGCCAGGACCGTCAGCTTCTGGAGGGGTGAGTCTCCCAGGGAATTCCGTCCACTCCGTGTTGCCACACAAAGTGACAAAACACTGAACCCTTTGCCCCATCTCCCTCCACAGCCCTGCCCAGCGACCCCTCCTTGGGCCCCCAGATCCTCCTGGGGTTCTCACTCAGTTGTACCCATGTGGTTGCCCCACAGCCTCTGGACAGGGTAACCCTGAGTTCCAGCTCCTGGAACCCAGTGGTGGGTGCAGGCGTGGGGAAGGCCTCCATGGACTGAGTTTCGGTCTTGGGGTGGGAAGACTCCGCAGCCTGCTGTGGGTGAGGAGTCTGCAGCCGATCGGAGCCCAGATGCAAGAGGTTCACCTGAGGCAGCCTTTGCACTCCTGCAGGGGGCTGGCAAAGGACCCGTCATCAGCCCTGGATCTGACTGAAGCCAGGTTTGATGCAGACCCAAGGTGGGAGAGCCCTGGCATGCCTGCAGAAGGGCCCACATCTGGTACGTTGACAGCAGGGGTTTACAGCCAGGAGAACAGGAGCCCCTGGGCTGGAGTGGCCAGCCTAGGTTGGGAGGAGCGGGGAAGCCCTCACCCCAAGTCCCAGGATTCCAGTCCATCCTCACCTATTCTTTGCCTCATACCTTTTTGTGGGCTGCCAGGGGCACCCAGGGACAGCAAGTAGGTTTTCTTTTATACGCCAATTCCACATGATTGGTGCCAGCTGTCTCAGGCACTGTGTCCAGGAGGATTCTGAAGCTAAGCTGGGGCTCAGAGGAGAAAGTGCTGGGAATGACTGTCTGTCCTCCCTGTCCTCCAGCGAGGAGGGAATGGAATGGCAGCTCCAAGCTGCCTTGCTGCCACCCTCATGCCAGGCACTGGGGAGATACAGGGCACAAAAGAGACTTGGCCAGTCAGTTATCCTCATCCCTGAGGAGATCACAGCCTAGTGAGAGGGTGTGACAATAAACAGGCAATTAGAATTCAGTGGGATGGATGCTGTGAGCCCTGGGCCTGTTAATTTAATTTAAATGAAACAGGCTGTCAAATGATTTGTTAAATAATAAGCCTAGCAAAGTCATAAGCTTTTAGTTGTGACATCATGCATGGGAGAGAGGAGGAAAGTGCCCAGATTATTTTCTGATTGACAGAAAAATTTTGACAAGTATATTTTCTCTTGGGAATACATTGATGGGAGACATCTATCACAACATTATAACCAGTGAAATAAATGATCTAGTAAGACAACAGACCAGAATTACAGAGGGACAGGGTTGGAGGTTATTTTCACAGTTCATGGCAATAATTTCTGAAGGCTTGGGAGTCTTATCAGACCTCTTTGTTCAGAACTCTTCAAAAGACAGATTTGTTTTCACAGAGAACATTCCCATTTGGTTACTGTTATGAATATTCACATGTCCATATTGCATAAAGATGGCATTTCTTGTGAGAGTTCTCAATTTAAGACCTGACGAGATCAGGTTCTTCTAAGTAGTTTTATGGATGCAAAACGATGCTCCTTCCTCCACAGCTGCAAAGGAGCAGCGACATTTCATCTTTTTTTAGATTCCTTTCGTTAATTATGAAGACTTGCAGTTTTTAGGCCAGTCTCTGGCCTAAAATTCCACTTCTTGAATTTCATTTGGTTTTGCTGTCGGAAACCAAGAAAGAGCTAAAGAGGATTATCCTTAATAATAGGAAAGTCGGGTGCATATTGTGGGGCTGGACAGGCACACAAGGACAAAGTGCGGGTGTCCTTATGAGGGACTGAGGAGCCTGGAAACCAGTCCCTTCCTGCTCCTGGGCCTCCCCTGGCGGTTTTGAGGAAGAGGGTGTGCAGGTTCCTCGGAGGTGGTCCTTGGCTGGGAGGATGAGGAAGATGGGGTCTGCTGCTGGCAGGCAAGCCTGAGAAGCAGGCACATAGCAGGCTGTGTAAATAAAGGTGGAATGATGAACTGCGACGGCCTTGAAGTTCCAACGCCAACCCTCAGGGTACCCCACCACCACATCCCCTCACGTGCTGGGGACTCCCTAGGCTTCTTGGTTCCAGTTCTGTGGGTTGTGTGTGAGGGCCTGGGACATGAGCAGAGGGCTCTCAACATCTGTCTTTCTCCCTCAGGTTGCTCACAAGAGCTGAACCTCACCACCAGCAGTAGCTTTGGAGAACCAGGAAGCTCAGAGTTCAAGGTGAAAGGGTCGAAGCGTCCTGGGCAAGACCCCTCTCAGATTGGGGATAGCAGAGGTGGGGTCTGCCTGGGAGGAGACTGCAGGGGTGAGAAGCCCACAGCCAGGTGGAAGAAGGGGCCATCACTGAAGCACCTTTTACACTACATAACATGGGTTTTACAAATTTAGGAATCGGGCAAGGGCCCTAATGGAAGTGAGGCCCACTGGGGTAGCCACTGGGGTCTCCAGGCTCCCCTGGGGGAAGTGGCCCTGGCACGAGGATTCCCTCACAAACCCGGGAAAGGTGCTCTTCCTTCCTAGGAGCTGGCCCAGAGGGAAGACGGGGAGCTAGCAGGGCCCATGCCCCAGGGGCCCCATCAACCACCATCCAGAAGCCTACAGGAGAAGAAGCTGGCTCAGGGAGCCCCAGGGCCCTCAGGCCTCCCCTCCCAGGGCCTGCCAGAACCCCCGGATCCCCTGGAGGGGCTGGGCTGCAGCCTGGGCCAGGAGAGAGCAGAACTAAAGAAACTGCTAAGAAGTGAGATTCCTCAGAGTCAGAGAGAGGGGGCCCCTCAGGATCAGAGAGGGAAGGCCCTCCAGGGGGAGGACAAAGAAGTTCCCCCAAGTAAGAGAGAGAAGACAAACGAGGGTCAGAGTGGGGAGGCCCCTCAGGCTCTGAGGGAAGAGGTCTCGGAAGGTCAAAGGTGGGAGGCCTCCCAGGGTGAGAACAAAGAGGCACCTCGAAGTCAAAGCGGAAGTCGCCTTAAGTGCCGGAGAAAGGAGGTCCTCCCGGAGCAGAGCGAGGATTCTCCTCAGGGCCCGGAAGTGAAGACGCTTCAGCCTTCCGAGGGCAGAGGCCGTATCTCACAAGCCTGGGAGGTGGCTCGGGGAGAGGCACCTACACCGCCCCGGGAGGAAGGCGGCTCCCTGGGGATTCCGGGGGGCTTCTGCAGGCCCCTGGGAGAACGGATGCCGCAGCCTGGGGGAAGGGAGGGCCCGGACCCGCGGGGAAGGACCACGCAGCTGAGGCAGGTTAAGACCGGTGGCCCGAGAGGAGAGAGCGCAGCGGCCGTGAGAGAGCAGCGGCCCGCCCGGGAAGGGGCGCCGGCTCCCCTTACGCCCCCGGGGCCTCCGGCCCGGCCGCCGCTCCCACGCCCAGGAGCGGTGTCGCTGGCGGCCCTACGCACTGGTGGTTCCGAGCAGCGGGAGCGCCCCGCAGCTCTCCCAGGGCACCCGGGCCTGCTGAGCGATCCGCACTCGCTTCGGGGCCCGGGAGGAAGCCCTGGCCCCGCGGAGCAGGAGCTGGGCGGCTCCATGGGGCTCCCGGGCGCCCTCGGGGGGCGGAGGGAAGGTGCCGAGGCCCCCAGAGCCTCGAAGACCGCGTGGCCCGAGTCCCCGAGCAGGGACAGGCGGTCTGCGAGCGTGAGCGCGGCGCAGCAGGAGACGGCTCTGCAGCGGCTGCTGGAGCTGCACAGTGAGGCCAGGCGTCGGCGGCAACAGGACCGCGAGCAGCAGCGGCTCCGGGTGCGCGGCCGGGCCGGGAGGGCGGGGCACCAGGGGGCGGCCGATCGGCTGCTGACAGAAGCCTCCTCCAGGTCTTGGAACGCCTCCGCATCGCCAGGAACCGCCACTGCCGCGTGCACCCCTTGAGACCCCCACCAAGCCCGGCTCAGCTCCCACGACAGGCAAGACCCCTAGGAGAAGGCGGTGGGGCCGCCAAAACCCTGCCTGGGTGGGGGACGGGGCGCGACCTGGGTCCCTTTGACTTGCGCGCACCGCGCACTTGCGATGACACCTGCGGAGCGGGAGGGGCCGGTCTGCCCGGGTGCTGCCCTCTGCTGGCCGCATCGAGCCCCGGGGCTGGGAGGCGCGGGCGCTCAGCGCTCGGCGCCGCCCCAGGAGGACGCGGCCGGGCAACGGAGCGCCCTGCGGGAGCAGCTGAAGCAAATGCAACGGGAGAGGACCGGGCGGCTGCGAGCCCTCGGGGCCAGGTGAGGGGTTCGGGCGGGGAGGCTTGTGGGGTGGTGACGGTCCCTTTTCCCTGGCATCTGGGATGAAAGGCCACTCTTTACACAGGAACACCCAGAACTTCCAGCAACTTCTGTGGCCCCCTGGCTCTGAGGAGCCTGCGCCTGGAGAGCATCGCGCACTCTTCCCAGCCCGCTCTGGTCACTGCTGAATCCTCAAAGGGACGATTAAAGAGACGGGGATTTAAGGAAAAAGCAAGAGGGCAACCTGTAGGTCAGAGGTAGTTTCAGAAAGGCCCGGAACGCAGCCTCAGGGCCTGGGAGAGCCAGACACAGACACGCATGGCACTTTCGGCCCGCCACGTGTATTATTTCTTCTTCCCTCCCCTAAGCCCACTGCCTGGCCCAAGGTCAGAGGGCCAGGTCCTGGGGGTCAAGCAGTGCGAAGGCCCCATTCTTGCGGAAGAAAGATTCAATGCGGCACGTCTTGCAGGAGACCAGTTCTTGCTTCACTGGGGGGCCTGGGAAAAGATGTCAGAGGCCAGGAATGGATTCCTGGGAAAGGAACTCGCAGAGCCCGGGAGCCCTGCCTGCATAACCCTAGGAATCTGCCTGTGTTGTATCCACTTTGTAAGTGTGAAAAAATAAAAAGAAGTGCTTCTGAGGAGTGGGGGCTATGGGGAAACAGGGAGCTGGCTGGCTGCCTGGATCAGCAGTGATGGCCAAATGCCAGTCAGCTGTGTGCCAGCATTTCCCCCAGCCTCAGAATCCTCCATGGAGGCGGGTGGTGGGACTCCCAGCCGTGCTTGTTACAGACAGAGCTAGACTTCTCTGGGGCAGACAGGGCTTCTTTCTACCTCCTGCTCCCCTTTCGGGGTTCACCTCCTGCTTTCATTTGGAAATTGCTCCCTTTCCTACCCATTTAGGGCCCTGGGGAAAGTAGGGGGATTTTTTTTTAGGCAAAATTTCAACTGTGTTTATCACCAACCATCCACGTTTTCTGTGCAGGAGCTGGAGAAAACATGTGACTGAGTAGTCTCACTTCAAATTCATGACCACAGACAGCAAAGGGACATGTCTCATCACCCAGAAAACCCACAACACTCCCTGGCATATTCTTTTCCCCACACCTTGACTCTTCATCTCCAGCTGCACCATTGCCTTCGCTCCTCTCCTGCCCAGCCGATGACCATGACTCAATCCAGATGGACAGCCTTCTGGCCAATACCATCTCCCTACCCCTCGCTGTGTCCTCTGCCTTCTCCAATTTGATCCAGCCTCTAGAGCTCCCTGGGTAAGCCCACCCAGTCTCGGGGCTTTAAAGAGCACCTATATTCTGATGACCCCCAAAACTGCATCTTCAGCTCTGATCTCCCTCCATAGGGCGACTCCCATACACAGCCGACTCACCGACACCTCCAGCGCAAAACACCCAACACTGACCTGTCTTCACACACCCCCAGCCCTGTCCCCGCCCCAGTCTCCCCTGCTGTAGCTGCTTCAGCTGAACACCTGGGCATGGCCATTGCATTCTCTTTCCTTGTCTCTTTCAAACCATCAGTAAGTTCTCTTGATTCTTCCACCAAAACATATCTGGAATCTTTCAGCTCTACCGTCAATCACCCTAGCCCAAGCCATCGTCATCTCTTGCCAGGATAGCTTAGCCACCTGCCAGAGCCTACTCGTGTCCCTAAAAAGGCCATTACCTACAGAATAGTCAGGGTGATTTTTTTAAAAAAAAGTGTATCAGTATCATTTACCTGTTTAAAACTCTCCATGGCTTCCCCTCGAATTTAGAGTAAAACCCAAACTCCTCCTCCTTGTTATTTAGCTCACTCAGCCTTTAGGTCCCCAGAGAGGCCTTTCCTGACAGTCCAGTCTAAAGCCGCACACGCCCCCTGTCCCCCTCCTCCACCATGCCTGGCCCTCTCTTGCTCTTGTGTCTATGGCCTGGACCCTCCACTAGAATGGACGTCCCCAAAAGGAGTGTCCACGTGCCTTGTGTGTCTAGCGCTGAGAGCGCTGCCTAGCTCGTGGCAGGTGCTCTGTGTTTGTGAGGCGAATAATTTCCGGGAGGTTAGGGCTCACCCAGCTGCCAGCCATATGTGAAGTTGGTGGTGATGGGGAAGAGGTAGCGCCTCTCTGGCATGTCCAGTTTTCGGGTGTTGAGGTAGCGGTAGCGGCCCTGAAAGTCGTGGGAGATGCCTTCATACAGCAGGGCCCGGGTGGCAGGCAGGACTGGGTACATTTCTGGCTGAATAGGAGCCTCCAGGGCAGGGCTGGGGGCCTTGGAAGGAACTGCTTTGGGGGCGGGCAGGGGTGAGAGTGGGGCTTTGGGGGGCAGGGTGGGCAGCTTGAGGGGTACGTGGGCTGCAGTCTTAGCCTTCTGCTTGGCCTTCGCCATCGACCCATACTTGTGGTGCCATTCATAGCGCAACACCTTCTCCCTCAGATACTGCTCCTTCCAGAAGTTCTGCCGCACTGTGTCCATGTTAAGTTGCCGAGACATGGTGGCAAAGGAAGGGGCAGGACCGGGGTGACTGCAGCTGAGGGGTGAGCGCAGCAAGCAGAGCCTTTCTGACAGCAGGTGGCTGCCCAGGGACAGTCGCTCGGCAACCGAGCCTCACCTCACACAGGGCCATACCCTCAGAGCGCCTCACACGCCTTGCTTGCTGAGGCAGCCTCAGGCCGGGGCCCACTGGCTAAGAGCCTTGATCCCCAAACCTCTTGCTTGACCCAGGCTAGTATCACAGGCTTCCAGGTTTCCTGTGATTTCTGCTTCCTTCCCTTGAGGTCTGGTCCCCTCCCAGCCAATACAGACTCAAGCTGGGGTGCCAGGGGACTGGACGCAAGCCTCCTTCCCTTCCTCCCTGCCAGAGCTGGCTACCTTTAATTCAGAGGGCCAATCTGGTACGATCTTCCTGGTCCAACTCCTCTATGCCTGGATCTTTGGCAAAACCTTTTCCAGCCCTGCCAGTCGAATCCACTCCCCCACCGCCTCCCCGCAACAGCCTCATCCCACACGTGTCCTTTCTAGCACCCAGCCTCAGATCGGAGAGAAGCAAGAACTACTTTAATTTAACATCAACAAGGACACTGTAATTTAATTTAACATCAACAAGGACACAGGGAAGAGGTAATGGAGAGAAGACACTCAGGCTTCCTATACCCTAACCACCCTTGATTTGAATGGCAGAGCCCCAGCAAACTGGAAGCACCTCACCTAGCCTCTCAGTGGAGTGGGAAGGGGCAGGGAATTGGAACTCAGAGGCTCGAATCTTAGAGGAGGGCTGATGGCAAGCCTGGGGAGAGGCCACATGGCTGAGGGGAGTCCCCTAGCGCAGGTCTTCGGCCGTGAACATGCCCCTGGCCCTGCGCAGGATGGAGTCCTTGGCAGCATCATAGGGGTGCTCCTTGGATGGGATCTCCAGCACGGCCGGAATGGAGCGCTGGTGGGCATCGAGCGCGTGCCGCACCATCTCTGCGATGTACTGGTTGATGAGGATGATGCCGATGTCGTCCCGGTTTAGAAACTGCCTGTAGGGAGAGATGAGAAGGGAGTCCAAGGCAGCCCACTCTGAGTTGGTGGGCTGGGCTGCAGAGGGGAACGAGCTCGATCCAGAGAGTGCAATGGACAAGGATGCTACACTAAACTCTCTTCATTCTATTTAGAATCAATTTCAGTCCAAAGCTAAGGGCCATGGCTTCTACCTCCCCTGCTTGGAAGGCTCCCAACTGAACTGCTAATGAAGGTGAGGGTGCATGCTGGTGTATTCCTTACACTGCCTTCGGGTAAGAAAGGGAGAGGATAAGAATATATACATCTGTCCCTTTGTATCTGCATAAAGAAAAAGAAAGATAAGGAAAAAACTAAGTGGTTACGGGGTGGAGGAAGGAGGTAATGAAGTAGAAGAGGTCGGGGTGGGAGTGTGACTTCTCAATGTATATACCTTTTAAATATTAATTTGTAAGCCACATGAACACATTAACCTTTCAAAAGAAAACAGATTAAATTTTTTAAGGTTGGGGGGCGCTGGACAGACCACTCAAGGTCTATGGTGATGAGGGCAGGGGGTGAGTCAGAGGGGAAGCTTGGCCTGAGCCAAGAACACAACACAGGAAGAGGAAAATCGGTAACGAAGGAATCACACTTTCCACACGGAGAGAACCCGACACTGGGCTCTTACTTTCTTGTGATCAACCACCCATTCATTTATTTACTCGTTAAAAACTGTTTACTGAGCAGCTTACTCTGTGCCAGACACTAGGGCAGGTTAGACTTGATGATTTCTGAGATCCCTTTTGGTTAGAAACTTGGAAAATTCTTGAAGTAAAATTTGTCCTTCTCTCATGACAACTTGGGTCACTTTACCGGACTGCTTAGAGAGTGGCAGAGATCAGCCTCCCGGGTCAGGGCCTATCACACCCCAGGCAGCAGGAACCAGTCTCAGCCAGTAGCTCAGGGCTGGGCTGTTTAGGGGGAAACAAAGGAGAGTGGTTTGTTCCTGGGACTTGGCACAGGGGCCCTAGAGAAGGGGTGTGGGAGAGAATAGGGGGCTGGCACCCTCAACTCTAGTCACCAGGACGCCTCCTGGACTAAGGGACATGCCTGCACCCACATTTTGAAGCTATTGCTCTTAACCCAGAACAGGAAGTGAAGATTTGAAGTGCATGGTCTCAGCAGAAGGTAGGACAGTCCTGATATTGTCCGCTGTGCTCAGGACAACGGGAAATTCCGTAGCCGACTGAGGAGAGCTACACAGGCAGAGTGTAGCCCTGGCTTAAGAAAGGCAGAAAGGGTGGGACTGGGCTCAAATCCCTGCTCGCTCTCGTCTGAATCACAGAGTGTGCCTTAACCTCTCTGAACTTAATTTTCTCACCAGTAAGTGGGAATAACCCCTACCTCACAAGACGATTGTGAGCCTCTGAGGGAGACGAAAATACAGGAAAGCCCGAGCCCACTGCCCGTGTGTTCACTGAGTGTGTGGTTCCTTTAGGTGTCAACTCGCAAGAGAGTCGAGTGCTTGCAATGCCCGGAGCCTGCTCTACGGGTGAAATGGGGGAGCCCCTGCAGGGGAGCTGAGACTAGCCCCCTCCGGGCCTGGACCCTCCGGACGCTCAGCTCTGGCGGGCCAGGTTGGGCCAAGGGGCGGCGCCCGCCCGTCACGAGCTCTGTTCCCCTTCTTTCCTGACACACGGTCATGTGACAGGGGGTAGTTTGTGGACCCGACATAGGCCCGGTCCCACCGAGACCCAAAAGGGAACTTGGGACGCGGAGGCCCCCTCTCCGGAAGGGGAGGTGGACCGACTTCCTCGACCCTCGAGGACGGGGTCTGACACTTCGGCCAAGGTCTGGAAGCCCAGGGCCGCCCCCGCCTTCGCCCCGCGCTCCCACCAGGCAGCTGAAGGTCCCCGTTCAGGCCTTGCGGGCTACCGTACCGGAAAGTGTCTTCGATCTCATTGATGGTAGTATCTTTCTCCACCACCAGGAAATTAGGGTGGCGGTTCTTGTTAAGCTCCCCTATGCCGCCCAGCAGGAAGCCAGTCACCGTGTCCTCGTCTCCGATCACCGCAATTAGCTTCCCCCTCCCCGCCATCCTCACAGTCCGGCAACGATCAGCCGCAGCCTCCGGGTGTCACCAAAGCCCCGCCGCGGCAGTGCAC